CAATTCAAACATAACGTGGTTTATCATTGAGTGGCCTATATCATCAAGTAGCCTACTTTCACCTCAATTTACACTTTCAAACCCATATTATTCAACAATAATTGAATCAATTAATTGAAATTATTAAAAACCTAATAATTTAGGATCTATTACATTATTTTGATAGGTTCTTGTATTATATCCTATCTTTCCGTATTTATTACAACATTAATTAGAAGATGTTTCCTTATTAGAATTCCCCCCTTTTTGACATTTATCGCATTAAATCTAAATATCAATTTTTTATTGAGATAATATATTAAAAGCCTCTTATTTAATAAATATTCTTTCTTAATATAATTAAGTTTTTTTTGCGTGTCGATGTTTGCTTAATATCTCATTTGCTATTCAAAATATACAATTCTCTGTACTTAAAAGTATATTCTTATAAACTAATCTCTTTGTACCCTTAACTAGAGCTAGTATAGTTTCGAATATAGGTGTAAAAGAACTTAATTAATAACAAATTATTCGAGATTTAATTAATATTGATTAAAAAAGAGCTTTTGTTAGATTATAAAGAGTTTAAAAGATTTATTGATTTAGATCAAAAAAGGGGGGGTGTTACGGAGGTACCCGCACCGCAACATGGATTATAAGATAAACCTAAGGCCTTGGTGTTGGAACCTACGAAAACAGCACTGTAGGGACAGTTGGATTAAAGGGTAACGAAAGATAGCGGTAACCGAATCAATAAGCAATGATTAAAAGATAGGTACCTATCTTTTGTTAGCACCTACCCTACAGTAGGCACAGGAGGGATAGCGGTACAGGTTATCTAGTAAGCACAGGTTAGATAAGCAGTAGTATCATGTAGGTCACGGGGCAAGTGTCACGTGATGGATAGACAGTCTACCCAAGCTATCCAGACGTGAACGAAGGTCTATATAAGGGAATGGGTTTCATTACAATGTAGAGCTTCGTGCTCAAGAACAATCACTAGTTTCATTACTATAGTTACGAGAATTGCAACCAGTTACAACCTTATTGAATTCCTACTTGAAGTTTAGTCTAAACCAGCTCGAGAGAACTCTAGACACTTCCACGTGACCCTAGAGGCAGCTCCCGTAACAGGGGGGTAGGTATACAAATTTAAATATCTAATTTCGAAAGTACAACTTCAGAATTAAATGAAATTAAACCTATTCTTTGAAATTATGATTTTATATTCTAAAAGATAATTGATTCCTTATATATAGTTTTAAAAACTATAAAGAATTCAACCTTTAAAATATAATTAATATATATCTTAATAAATTTATTAATTTGATTATTATATAAATGTTTTAGATTACTAAAATAGTTAGTATTAGATAATTAAATTAAATGACTTGAATACAATAATAAATATAAATATATAATATTATTCTTTTTATAGTATATTTAAAAAGCTATTGATTTATAACTTTCATGTTTATTTAATATCAACATTTGATATTTACCTTTTCTTCAATTCTTAATATACTTATCAAAATATTTCAATCATTCTAAATCTGTTTTATTATTTGTTTACCTATTAAATATAGGTTTAATAGTTTATTTTATAGAAAGATTCGTTTCGATGTATTAATTGAAGAGATGAACTTGTTCTTGAACTATTAGAAATAAGAGAATAATTTTATTCTTTTTATTTCCGTATATTATTATTATAGCCCATTCTCGATTATCTGATTATACTATCTTACTTCTACTATTTCATTCAACACTAGTTATTATTATTACTACACATATAATCCTTATTATAAAACCTATTTCATCGAAATTATAGAAATCTTTATTTAAAATATTATATTTCGCTCGTATATTCGTAATTAATTGAAATTATTCTTCAAAAAGCTTAGAATTCTTACAAAAAGCTCTTTGAAAATTATAAACATAACTAAAACATGTTTTTAATTTGATTCAACGTTTTACAAATCAATACACTCAAAACTTCCCAATATATTTCATACTTTTCAATTCGAGAATATTATTCACTATATCTTCTATATTCTTTAATTTAAATAGAAATCCTTTTAAATCTATATCGAATATATATTAAACAATCATTTCTTCTTCTAATTCTATAATCTTATAACAATTCATTCGAGTTTTTATATAAAAAGGTAAACCTTTTATTTTATATTGAAGAGTTATATAAAGAATATTATAAAGTATAATAACCTTTCAAATACTTAATTTTTTATCTTTATGAATAGCTTTAACAATAAGGAGTATACAAGCTTTTTAATTATTCGAATTTATTATAGATTGTTGATAAAATATATGTTAAAAGAGATAGATATAAATTGAGATGAAAGTGAGTTACTTGATGATATGAGCTATTCAATGATAAACCATGTTATAAATTCTCTTCATATAATATATCCACCCATCTCGATTGATAGATCATACATGCCACTTTACTGCTCTTACCTCTTGATACCCAATCCGATCTGAGATTCTTCGCCTTTTTACTTCCTCGCTTCCTTCTTCCTTGGATTTTGATAAGTATCTAGGCGTGTGTTTATATGGTTAGAATTAGAATCGAGACTGGGAGTTGAATTCGTGAGGAGCTCAACATAAATCCAAATGACCTTACAATGAGTCGGGTAATGATAACCAAAACTGCATCTCAATAAATCAAACCCGCAATTAAAAATCCAAAAGTTCGGATAAAAAACCCCAAAACTTTCATCTCGCTCTCCCTCCTAGTCTTGAATCCAAAACCTCAAACCCCAAAAGAAATCCCAAAAACATCCAAAAGCCATCCGTAACATAACAACCTCCCTCCACCTCCCCATTCCCCGATTTCGTATATCTATTATGAATATATGAAATCTCGCGATTCATGTTTGCTTGAATGGAAATCTTAGTACTAGATTGCTAGGCTGCTAGTTTATAAAATGAATAGAATAGATTTATGAGATGAATAGGGATATGTAGATTCCAGAGTAGGGGTTAGAGGCATTGTGTTTTTCTGTGGTGATGGTGAAGTATGCACTATCTACTAGATATATAACAGTGTATGCTGAGGAAATGAGGGAGAAAGAAAATAAGGAAGAAAGGAATTTTTACTTTCCAAGTTTTCAATTCTCATAATCTCTCTCTCACAGACTCACAGACTAACTTTCATTTTTCCCCAGAACAATCTCCTTTAATCCCCTCGCCCCTTCTCCTCCCGATCCCATACTCGCGTATTCAACTCCTCTTCATTCATCACTCCTCATTCATCACTCCTCATTCATCACCCACTATACATAATATAATACACACTTAGACATCTCTCCCCCTCACTCTCTTCTCTTCCACCCCTTCACATAACTCAAAACTTACAGTATCTAATTCTCTTCTCTTCTCTACTCTTTATAACCACCTTATATCTAATTTTCGCCATGGATTTTTTTGCAAGAACTCTCTAGTTTCTTGCGCCCGATCTTTTCTCTACTTCCTCTCTATGAAGAATTTATTTCCAATCTCCCACAACCCCAACCCATCCCCCCATCTCCTCAGCACCTTTACCATATCCAGCAGAGTAAAACGTAAATTCCTCTTCCTCCCACTCTCAACACGACCCTTCAGCAAACAAGCAATCGACCATCAAACTATCACTTACCTTACCCATCACCCTCACCCCTCACCAATTCCACACTCAACATGTCCAAACAAATTCACTCACTCCCCCCGCTTCCTTCATCCCCTCCTCATCCAAATCTTCAAACCTACATTTTCTCCCTCTCACCCCTTACATTACACAAAATTCTCCACTCCATCCACTGACTACCCTTCTATCCATCTCATCTATCCATTTGTACTCTTCCATTTTTTCTCCTCCCCATATTTATTACCTATCCACCCCGTCCTCACATGAATTCTCATACCCTATTCCCCTTCCCCATCCTCCACCTATCCTCCAACTTCCAAGTTCCCACACAACGAATTTTCAATACGCGCATACTGAATCCCCTATGTTTCCTTTATTCACGCCCAGCGTTTTCCTTCCTTTCCTTCCCCATCTTTTTACTACATTTCTTCCTCCCCTATCTCCTTCTCCTCTCCCTCTACTGCCTTCCCCAAATATTCCCCTCCTCCCTCGTCCTCTCCATCATATTCCCACCCCTCTCTTGTCCCTCCCCTTCATTCCGTCCCTCAATTCCTCAATTCCTCCATCCCTCCCTACCCTCCCTCCCTCCCTACCCTCCCTCCTCCCTTTTCAAAACCTACACCCGAATCCAACATCACATCATACAAACTCCCCAAGCACCCCAGAGCCCCCCCAAAACTCCTCAGACTTCCAGAACCCACATCTCCACATCCAGCCCATCCCTTTCCTTCCCTCATTCCCCTCCCCATATCTCAAACCCCCAACTTTCAACTCCACCACTTTCATTCTCCAATATAAACACACCATCCCCCATCCCATCCCCTCACATCTTTGTCTTTCCACCCTTTTTTCACATCCATCTTCACCTCTACCACCTTTCCACCCCTTCTCCTTCTCACCCCTTCTCCTTCTCACCCCCTTCAATTCATACCAAATACTACTCTCCATTACCCATTTCCCATCCATCCACTCCCCATTTGCCACATCCTACTTTCCACTCCAAATTCCCAAATTCCCAAATCCCCCAATCCCAGAATCTCAGAATCTCATCGTATTAAGAAATTCACCTCCACCGAATCTAAATATTAAAGATATCAGAAATATCAAAAATGGCGAGAAAGAAACAAATCATAAACATTAAATAGTTAAATACACAGCAAATCAATAATAAATCAAAAACCATCAATCATAAATCATAAATCCCATGCCCACCACAAAATCATTCCATTTTTTTTTCCTCCAATATCCATTCACCCACTTACTCACCATTTACTTACCCCACCAAGTGAAAATTTCCCTCAACTCGGAAACGAAAAAGGGTTTTTACACATCAATGCACACATACCTCTATATCACATTTGACACACCAAAAAAGCAATAGAAGTGGAAATTATTGAATTCCCAAACAATCCGTCCTCGACTAATTCCTAACTAGTATACTTATCTACCAGCCAGTCAACAGCTTCCAGACTTTGATTATCTCCTAGAAATCTCATAATAGCATAGCATGCCAGCTAGCTCAATAAATATCACGTCGTGTGTTGTAAAGCCATGATTGGCGAGAGAGAGAGAGAGAGAGAGAGAGAGAGAGAGAGAAGAATATCATGGTTGCCACCTAGTACCAAATCCGAACCCATCCATCCAGCCATATCCCAAGCAAAAATTCATCCATTCCCTAAATAGCAACAAAGCAAAGCAAAATCCATCCATAATCACGCACGCCATCAATGCTCTATTCGAACAACAAGTGCAGTCTACGAGTAGTGCAGAAAAGGAGGTGTAGGTAGAGGGAATTGTAGTGTGAGGAGACTACAAATCTTCTCCTTCTTTACCGGCCTTCTTACTCTTCTTCTTGGGTTGTGGTGCACCTTCTTTCTTGCAGTGAACGATGAGACGAGTCCATGATTCATCTTTATCCCATTCAAATCCTGCGAGGACTGGAGTTTCTAGTTCATCATCGGCCTGGTGGGGGAGATTTGTTAGAATATTCTTTTGAAGGGATGGCAAATGAAGAGCATGAGGTCTTGGTGGTTGGGCAGGGAAGTGAGGGAAAAATGCCAAGGGACAACATACCTTCTTACGGAATTGCTTGTAAATAGCATCTACTGCATCCTTAATTGTAACACCCTTCATATTTCTCGCAGTGACTTCCAACCCCAGTGGGAAATGTAAATCAATCTTCTTGACTGGTGGTGTAGTGAGAGATTTCTTAAGGTAACTCTTTTCCGGGTCATCAAGAGTCATTGGAGATTTATTTATACGCCTACATGGTAATTATATCATCAGCCATCATTCATAAGATCATGTACATATGAAGATATATGTGAAGCGGGGTAAGAGTACATACCAGTTCAGCTTTTGAGTTTCCTTTGCAATCTCTAGTTCTTTTCCCTCTTTCTCTGTTTATATTGTTAATATCTCGTCATTATCAAGTCAGGCTGCATATCAAGCGGCACAGAATGTGTCCATCAATCAGAGCATCAATGAAAAGAAAAGAACACGAAAGAGAGAATACATACCCAGGTCATTAATATTCCATACACCAGGAGCACTTGAACTTGTTCTCCGATGACCAATGGTCTTCTTCTCATCAGTAGGACTACTCGATAATCCTTGAACTGCAGAATCAACCTTGGTTAAAGGTATTGGATCAGCATCTTTACCAGCATTGGCTGTATTGATGGGTTGAGTTGCTGTATCGGCAGACATGATTGCAGGGTGTTTGTTTGTTTTCCTTGATGTAGTAAAAGGGTAATTGATACGATATCTCACGATATTGGTCGAGAGACAAAGACAATGTTGGAATGTTTGGGGATCAAATAACTGATATAGTTACTTGGAAGTTGTATGCTTTGAAGAGAGACTTTCTTTGATAAATTGATGATCAAGAAAGTTGGAGTGATGCAGATTGTAAAATGTTTGATGGATTCAGGTACGAACAGGTTAATGTGTAGATATTTGAAAGATTTGAAAGTGTGAGTAATAAGTTTTGATGGTGAATGAATAACAAAGGAGGGAGGGAGGGAGGAAGGAGGAGGTCATTCGATTTCCAAATGAGGGGAAATAGACAAGAAGTCACACAACAGACTGGTGATTGGTTGAGGTTATCGGAATCAGAAAGAGGTAATAATTATAATTGTTTGGAGATGAAAAGCCAATAATAACCCGTGTACCTCGGACATGATTAGGGATTTTGTTGATTTCCATTTGTCAAGATCGTTTTCGATTCATTCTTCAAACTCCATCATATCATGCTCCAATCATACTTTAATTGTAAGATTACTTCGATTGTGCTTCAAATCACACTCAAATCACACTTCACTTCACACCTCTCGAACCATACCTAAGTCGTACCTCAAAACCATACCTCAGATCACACCTCAGATCACACCTCATATCACACCTCAGATCACACCTCAGATCACACCTCAGATCACACCTCAGATCACACCTCAGATCACACCACCTCATATTCCAATCACACTTCCCATGACACTTCACATCCATCATACCTCAAACCAGACTTTAACAAATATTCAATGAGATACTACTAGGTGCATACAATAATACAATCTAATCTTTAATCCTTACTCCTCCATCATCATATCCCATTCCATTCCTTATACAAACATCTCAATATCAAAATATCGCTCCATTCCCCATGTAGTATCATCCACCTAAAATCTCACACCCAAAGAAGCCTAGTCTCCCCAATTACCCCTGGTCCGGTAAAGAGAAAGGCCGAAGTTCCGACCCTCTTCTACCCTCAAAACTGGGGAAGTGGGTCATACCCCAGGTTTAGCCCATGGTATCTGCTGACTCTTATCACGTCATGTAACCTTAGCTTTTGGGATCAGTTCATTCCTTTGTTGCGTCGTCGTCTATCAAGACAATTTATTGAATATATTGAAATTGAAGTTGAAGTTGGGAGTGTAATAAATGTCATTAGTAATAAGTATGAGTATAATAAGTATACATTGAGTATTACGTAGACAATTTAATTGATAAGGTTAATAATATAACTGCATCAACACCAAAATAGGAAAAGAAGTAAGAAATCAATAGACTGAAATCCAATCACTCACTCAATCCCCCCGTCACTCAAAAGAGGGGTCGTACAATCATTCGATTGGTTTCTTCCGTGAGGGGTAAAATGCCACTAACTCGTACCTACGTATCAACACATCCAACCGCATCAAATCCAGAACAACTATCTAGTACTCTCAAATTCTAATGCTTGAATATCTAACCTCAGCATACTCCATCCATCCTCCTCTCCTCATTCGCATTTATTAAACTTTCCTCCCATCCCAGCACCAACAAATGATATACAAGCCAGTGTGTATCCCATAGAAATAAGAAGTTGATCATTCTTGATCGAGTTAACCTGGGGGAATTGATGCAATGGAGGTACTTACTCTGCAATGCTAATTGAGGCATTTTGTTCATTTGTTTCCAAGTAGTCCTTGTGCAATGAGGATGATGATGATGATGAGGAAAGCATAATGGATGGATGGTCTTGGGTGTGAGTACAGGAGGAGGAGGAGGTAAAGGTATGCTGCGTTCGAATTCCAATTTGCTGAGTAGATACTAGATTTCTCTTACGATAAGTATGTACCGGTATGTATATATCACACCATATCCAGAACATCAAGGGTTACAGTACATTACAACACATCACATCACATCACATCAATAATGACCACCCCCAATCCTATCCCATCCCCTCTTTCCTACTTAACACAACATAATATCAACATAGCATAGCATAGGTAATTCCGCTCGCTACTTCTCAATGCTCTAACCCCCGCACTATTGATCTGTAACCATCCGGCTCTCGTTCATTCATTTCCCCTTCTTCCTCAGTCCCACGTATAAATCTCAATCTAATTTTGTATACCTTTTCCATATCTTTCCACACTCCATCCATACATTCCCTCTCAAAGCCCAAACCCCAAAACTCACCCTCAGATAATCAAAGTCACACTGTTGCATCCCTTCTTCGCGCCCCCAATTTTCCTCTTACTTCGAGATCATTCCAGATCAGATCACGAGACATGTTTTATACTTCGATACATACATACCTAGTACATACCTACCTATTCGTGCTAGTATATACACACCGTCCTATAATCCTACGACGTACATTCCACACATTACATCGATACTAAATCCCATACCCATCTGATTTCTGTTTCTATATACTAGGTTTATTTACACCTATTACCTGTTACTTATTACTTGATACCTATTACCTATTCCCTCTCTATGAATATATAAATTACAACATCAAATCATTCTCTACCGGTATTTTTATTACCGATATATAAATAGTACTTATCTATCCACCTCTTTGTTCATTCATTTATCCATCTATCCACCCATCTATCCACCCACCTCTCCATCTACCTCTCTATCTACCTCTCTGTCTACCTACCTATCCATCCACCTATCCACCCCTCCCCCCTCCCTACCTCTCACACTCAAAACCACCACGGAAGCTTCGGAGTTCAAGGTACGCGAGATATAAACTAGCGTAAACCCATTGGTCTACATTAGAATCATCTGTTCTGGATTAACATGGTCTAGATTGACATGGTCTGGATTGGATTCGAATAGTCTGGTGCGGAGTGACATGAATGGAATGGATTGAATGAAAATACTAGGTACCTAGGTACATAGAGAGAGACAGGACATAGAGACATAGAATGTCTTTTGGTTTAATCTTACGATACCCAGATTCTAGATTGAATTTTGGAGACTGGTGTGATTATTCGATGTGAATGGGATCAGATCGTTTTGATGGTGGTATTTGGTTGGTTGATGGATTGCATGATGTGATATGGTATGGTTTGGGATGGCATGATGATGATATGACGAGAGGTAATGACATGATATTGGTATATTTGTAGACTCATGATAAAACGCACATAAGAATGCCGTTTCGAAACTACCCCCTCACGCTTAACTATAATGTGGCAATGCCACTTCATTAATTTCCTTCTTTGCTCCCTCACCACCAATACTCTTTCCAATATCAATCACACCCTCAATTTCCCCTGAAACCAAATGACTAATTTTCTTTGCTCCTTCTGGAATCCTAAAATGTGCCGGCAACGGAGTCCAACTTTCTTCATTATAATTCTCTTGGACCTTCCTACATTGTTTTAGTCCCCACTCCGTAACTCCCACCATCAAAGAACTCTCAAACATAAACGCCATACTCCCCTCTCCAATCTTTGCCGGTTTGAGTGGGGCATTCGATGCTTTATCGTGAGTACCTGCATCAGGACCATGAGCTGACATGATATTATGTAGAGAAGCGCCTGCAGGTTGGAAACCTCCTCCCGTCTTTGCATCATATTCCCCGCCGATGAGACCCATGAATTCAGACATGGTGTTGCGATGATACCAGGGGGGTCGGAATGTATCTTCGCCTACGAGCCAGCGTGGAGGAAAGATGACGAAATCCGCAATGGCGGTACCGACATGATCGGAAGGTGCAGTGAGGACGGTAAAGATACTAGGATCGGGATGATCAAATGATATACTGCCGATGGTGTTGAATCGACCGAGATCGTATTTGTATGGGTAGTAGAGTCCATGCCACGCTACAACATCAAATGGTGTGTGTGTTTGAGTAGCTTCAAAGAGGTGTCCACTGAACTTTGACAGGATCTTAAATTCACCATTGGTGTTGTGTTCAAAGTTAGCAACTGGAGCTTGGAAGTCCCTTGCATTGGCTAAACAATTCGAACCAATTGGTCCCAATTCTGGAAGTTGGAAATGTCCCGAATATAATTCCAATATATATCCTCGAACAGGTCCTTCTGGAAGTTCAACTCGATATCTAATTCCTCGAGGGATCACACAAATTTCATTTGGTCGAACGAGTAGGTTTCCGAGCTCGGTCTGGATGTCCAAAACTCCATGTTGTGCCACGATCAAGAAGTCTCCATCAGCACTATAGAATGCTTGGTTCTTATCCATACTCTTTCCTGCAGCGAAAATAAAGATTCCAATTCCATGTTTCAAGGTGGGATCCCCAGCTCCAGCTACCAGTTTCAGACTGTGTACCCAATCTACCGTCTCGTCTAGATCGAATGGATCCCATCTCAATTGATTTGGTATTTGATGTAATTTGTTTCCTTCTGGATTTTTGTTGTAGGAAGAGGTCTCGCGAGGGGTAAAAGGTTGATGTGATGCTGCTGGGAGGATTCGATAGAGCCATGACTGTTGATTTTCATGTCGGGGTGCGGTAAATGCTGTACCGGACAGCTTTTCGGCGTACAGACCATAAGGAGGCTTTTGAGGAGAGTTGGCTCCTACAGGAAGAGCACCTTCGACAGCTTCGGATCTGCGAAAGTATTAGAACAAGTGTTGAAAGGGTTATGAACATAAGCTTACTCATGATATGAGCCGAAACCATTTTGATATTTATACTTCTCTGGTGTATTAAATTTGGTAACCGGCATTTCGAAATACCTAGAGGCGATATGTATGGAAATATTTCAATGTATGGGATCGTTTGAAGTGATTGAGAAGATGCGAAAGATATTAAGTTAGGAAGTTAACTATAATAAGTTTGCGAATGCCTTTTGAATATTTATCAATCAGCCAGTTCATGAACTGTTCAACTGTTAAACCGCTCATGACGAAGTTATTTTCCCCGCGTACAACCGATAGGATGCTAAGAAATCGAGGTCACCAAATCATTCCATTCCGCATGCGGGGGTGAATGTGAACAGACGAGATTAGTCATCACATTTCTTCATTTTCTTCAGCGGAATGTATTCCGTTGAGACCACATGCACGCAAGTTGCAGGACAAAGTCAATTCGGATAGTTCTAGACTAACTCGATCTTCACTCGATACAAACTTCATGATTTGATGATTGTGCTTTCAATTCTTTCTTCACTTCCAATTCCATCCCCATATTTTCAGGTACGGAAGGGAACCCGCGCGGAATAGAAAAACATCTGGGGCTGTACGATCGGGTCCATTTCTCCACACATTCTCATGATGAACCAATCACAAGCTCTTCTTTTCAAGCTCGAAGATTCATCTACGATTTCCCGATTAACTAATATCTCACAGCTCGTACGGACAAGTCTAGCAAGATGAACTCATCTCGTACGGACAAGTCTGGGAAAAATGGATTCGCAGTTGAGACGTGGAACAGAATCTCACGGCTTGGACTGGATTATATATCGACTGTTTCTTCTTCTTCTTCTTCAATCTTACCACCATTCAGATTGACTTCCTCACTTCGTTCTTCCTCTTCTCACTCCTGCTTCTCCTTCTCCTCAACATCATCTATAGCATCACAATGTCTCCTCAAACCATAGGCATCGCGATTATCGCCACGGTTTTCTTCATCATTCGATATCTAAATCGTACAGATACTCCAAAGATTAAGAATTTACCGGAAATTCCTGGATACCCTCTCTTTGGAAGTCTGTTGGAATTTGGTGTCTCTCATGCATTGGTAGCCAAAAGATTGGCCGAGAAGTATGGTGCCGTCTTCCAAGTCAGGTTGGGAAATAGGGTAAGACATAACAGTATCTCAGCGGGAATCCCACACTAACTGTAAATAGCGCATTGTATTCGTCAACACCTTTGATGCTGTCCGCTATTTCTGGGTGACCAACCAATCAGCCTTGATTTCTCGTCCTACTCTTCATACTTTCCATAGTGTCGTATCTACTTCTCAAGGTTTCACCATCGGTACTTCCCCTTGGGATGAATCTTGCAAACAGCGAAGAAAGGCTGCAGCTACTGCTTTGAATCGTCCGGCTGTTCAAACCTACATGCCTATCATTGATCTTGAGTCTAAGGTTTCCATCAGAGAATTACTCAATGATAGCAAGAATGGTCAAGTTGATATTGATCCTATCTCTTACTTTCAAAGATTTGCTCTCAACACTTCTTTGACATTGAACTATGGATCAAGACTTGACGAAGATAAGGACAAAGACTTGCTTCAGGAGATTTGTGATGTGGAAAGAGCTGTTAGCAATCTCAGGTCTACGAGCAATAACTGGCAGGATTATATTCCACTGCTGAGATTGTTACCAAAATCGAACGCTGAGGCTATCGAATACAGAGAAAGAAGAGACAAGTACTTGAATTTCTTATTGAACAAACTCAAGAAACAAATCGAAGAAGGATCAGACAATCCTTGTATTACCGGAAACATCATCAAAGATCCTGATGCGAAGTTGAACGAGAGTAGGTTTCCTGCAACCATACCGATATGGCATACTAATCCGCTCTAGATGAACTCAAATCTATCTGTCTAACCATGGTTTCTGCTGGTCTTGATACAGTTCCTGGTAACTTGATTATGGGCATTGCATATCTTTCCTCTGAACACGGTCAAGAGATTCAACAACGAGCATATGAAGAAATCATGAAAGTTTACCCCGCTGGAGACGCATGGGAACGTTGTCTTGTTGAAGAAAAAGTTCCTTATGTTACTGCTTTCGTTCGTGAAGTTCTTCGATTCTTCACCGTTATTCCTATTTGTCTTCCAAGAACCAGTATCAAAGATATTGAGTACAATGGAGCTACTGTCCCAGCTGGTACTACATTTTACATGGTAAGCTTCTTTTTCAAATTTAAAGACTTCAGACTCATACTAACCATTATATAGAACGCATGGGCTGCTGACTACGATTCAACTCACTTCAAATCTCCCGATACCTTCTCCGTTGAACGCTACCTTGACAATCTTGAAGGAAGTGGAACACCTCACTATGCTTACGGTGCTGGCTCTCGCATGTGTGCAGGTTCACATCTTGCAAATAGAGAACTCTTCACTGCTTTTATTAGGTTGTTCACAGCTTTTCAGATTGTGGCTCCAAAAGATCCAAAGGATAGACCGATCTTGGATGCCTTGGAATGCAATGCAGTTAAGACTAGTTTGACAACAGATCCCCGTCCATTCAAGGTCGGTTTTAAGGTTAGGGACCAAGGGAAGTTGGAGAAATGGATGGGTGAGGCGGAAGAGAGGACGAAGGATCTTCATTGAGAAGAAAGAGGGCGTAATGATTTTGGGAAATATGAGGAGAGAGATGACTCATAATCCATTGGGTTATGCTGGAGGAAATTATATCATGATTCATGACACGAAATGAAACTTCATAGATATTTGTATGTCTTGGTCTTGTGTATTGTATGCTGCATAGCGAGTTTTGGTTTTTACTGTTTTCTGCATCTATTTCTATATCCAAGAGGTACAATAAAAATGAGAAAGATCTTATTCAACCTTTCTGCGCGCTTGAAAGGTTCACAATGTATGCCTCGAATAGTTGGTATATCTCGTAAAACTCGTGGAAAGTCTCCATCTTGATTTACCTCTCACTTTTGAATTGAAATTTCAATTTGATAGGAATATTTGGGACGCTGTAAAAGTCAAAGATGCAGATACCAGTAGAAACTCAATGAATTGAGAAATTTAATTAATGGTAGCTATGATAGTGAGTAGTTATTGGTCATTGGTTATGGACTATTGGTTGTGGATGAGAGTGACTGGGTGTGGGTGTGGGTGTGATGATTGGCAGATGAGATCGTGAAGAATTGAAAAGGATGGATATTTACTTGATTATTTGTTCTTGTTTGTATTTATGATTATATTTGGGATTATGGGCATTTGGCATTTGGAATTTTGGGATTTGTTAGTGTGATTGATTGATTTTTTGGGATTCTTCGTTTTGGGGGTTTATATATTCTTCATTTTGGAGGGTTTGTCTTTCTTTTGGCTTTTTTTTGTTGATTGTTAATTGGAGAAGATAATGGGGATGGGAGATGGGAGATTTTGAATTTGAAGAAAACGATGTATAGTTCCTGTTTTAGGGATGCTGTTGGGGGAGGGGATGCTATTTTATATTTGGGTTTGTGGTCTAGTTTCAGGAATTTAGTCGGTTTTTAGTCTGGATGATGATTTATTCACTTACTTTTGTTTGCTGTTGGAAGTTTTAGTCTTGGGAGTATCTTGTTTGATCCACCAGGCTTCTTTTCTTGAATGAATCTCTGGATTACAAGAATTTGAATTGATGTCATGATGTATGTGGATTTGATGTGTGTATGGTGGGTAGGTGGGTAGGTAATACACATTCATGAGTTGATAGTTCCATGGGGAAAATAGCTTCTCTATATATGAAAAGCAAGATGCGTCCGATTCGGTTCTTTGGATTGACAAGATTCGTCTCTTGTTGTAGGTAGTGATTTTTAAGTTATAGTCTTCCTGTTGGATATGAGCGTGAGGAGGGTGTATTGGGTATTATGAACTGTGTTCAAGGCTTGTTTGATACTACTTTTGTTGATGTTTTGTTTTTTTTCTCCAGTGATCATGATTACTATTTACTTTAATGAATCATGGGGAAAGAAACATGTTTACAATCTCCTTTGAGATATTTTGACTGTATCTCTACTCATGTAATATTGCTTTCATCTAACAATTTCAGCTGTTAATCTCTTCTCGAAATTCACTACTCGAAATTCACTACTTGACCTTCACCTATACTGAAAAGATTGAAAAATTTCTTCCTTCGCTAATTAACTTCTATCTTTCCAGAATATTCAATTATTTCTACTTTTCTTTCAACTCGACTGGACTTTCAACCTCAAGATTAACAAATTAAAGACGTATAATGTACAACCACCTCCTATCAGAAATGTCTTCCAGACTACTAACCTCTCCCATGGATGTCAGAAGGTCGTAAGTTCTACCTTTCATCTTTTATCCTTTATCCCACTAATACAATTCCAATTCCAATTCCAACCTAACAACTAAACCCCCCCAGAAAAAGCCACCGCACCTCCCACTCTGCCAACTATCCCGCCACACAATCCACCGAAACTTCCTCACTCCACGAAAAACCTCTTCCAGCCCCACCCAAGACATCAACTGGAGTCCTTCGTCGCCTGATTCCACGCCGACAAGATTCTATTGCGCTTCCGAGAGTGGTGGAGGGATTGACTCGGGGGATTGAGAAGGTGAGGAGACATAGTTTGAGGGCGGGTGGTATGTATTTTTGAGATTTTTTCTGCGTTTTGCGATGCTTCTTTTTGAATTTTTGAATTTGACAAAAAGAAATGAAAGATTAATAGAAGAGATAGTAGGATTAGGTCTTAAAAGTCCCAGTACACCACCACCACCACCAACAACAACAACAACAACAGACTCAGAGATCACACCCAGACCCAGATCAACATCAACATACAAATCCAGACCCACCACTTTTCCGACCACCTCTCCCCGCTTTTCCTCTCAACTCAAACCTCACCAAACTCCTGAGAAGCACGGCGAGGAAGATGTCGATCCATATGGTAACGAAGAGCCAGAACTCTGTATTGCAGTAGAAATGACGATCACTCCTGTTCGCGTCCGGATTGTTTATATTGGATGTAGGGGATTGGATTCTTGAGTTCGTTTTTGGTAGTGAGGAGGGGGGGGTGTTTGGGGTTTGAAGTATAATTGTAAGAAGGGTGTTTGATCTCGGGGTTGAAGTTTGGAGTTGATGAATTAAAGATTGGATGCTAATTAAATGCTGAGCGTTTTTTCTTGTTCTTGTTGGGCGTGGTATGATATGGATATCAATGGACGTTGAGAGGATAGGGGTTCGCTTATGGGGAGATAGCAGGGCTTCCACTTCTAGTTTTGTGCTCCGCTTTTGGAGAAAGCTGTAGATTGGAGACATGGCCAAAATCTAGAATTGAATTTCTCCTAGAAGGAGTTATGGAGGATTAGGATCGTACAATATCATTGATTATGTGAAATTCGGTTAATACAATTCTTGACTATCATTTGCCGCTCCCTGCAACACGAAAATGGATCCCAATCATTGCCCTCGCAACAAACGGCTTCCTATTCCTTGCGCAATATATCTTACATTATCCAGAGCCAAAAGGAAGATTCGAAAGTCCCCTTCCTCGTCCATTCAAAATAAATAAGAGCAAACAAAATCACTCGACTCATCGAACTATCACTCCTCACCCTCTCCAGCTTATTATTTTTGAAGTACGCCTAGGATAAGCTCCCCAAGAGTATTCCGTCTCTTCTGAAATTGTTGCTGATGACTGTACAAGTTAATTCTCTATAAAGTACTAAAACCGTTTTTCTTTATAGTCTCTTCCTCGTTCATCTCTTCAAGCTCAAGTTTCAATATTTCCGTCTCTGTTGCCCATTAGCTCGAGGTAGTGGAAAGGGACTATCTAAGCCTCATTATCTTGTTGTTTCCGGCATCTAAACATTTGTTATATCTATTGTACTTCTCTATATCTTACAATCTCACAGAACTACTCTAGGAATTTCAAAGAAAAAAAAGAAATATCAAGATATTGTGTATTGTATTCTATTAAAATCTATTCTTGTTATCAAAGAAAACATTAAGTCAAATCCTAGATAGTAATATTAAACTAAATCATCAAGTTGAAACCAAGTACAACTAATGTTAGGGATAAATATGAAAAGTATAAGTAGATCAATATATATAAGCTAGATCGATCACTCATAGAACTCACAATTCCACACCCCTTCCACACCCACCTATCGAATCGATTCCTTCAATGTATATTATACAAACCCTTTTGTCAAAACTTAAAATGAGATTCTACCGAAATTTTAGCCTCAATATAAATTTCTTAAGAAAAAGAATGAAACCAAAGCTCATTCGATTCATAAGTCAGTTTCTCATAGTATCCCGTTAGTCCGTACACTCATTGGTGCACCAGGGAGCAAATTCGAATCCTCAATCTACCATCAAATACCTACTACCCAAAGCAATCTAGAAGATTGAGAGAGGATACATTACGATACTACTAGATATCCAAGTACAAACATTCAAATCATTAAACACTAACTAACAGCAACATCAACCCCAAGACTACATACCCACACTTTAGCTGTCCACATCATGACCCCTTCTTTCTCATTTCCCTCACACTTCATAAATCATATTTACCAACCCAATATCTACAATTAGAGATGTAACAAGAGCAAAACATCGTAGACTTGTTCACGGCTCGCCATCTTGCAGTTTGCAATCCCAGATGCTCATACACGATTTCCACATTGGCTCTTCTCTCCCACTATTCACAAATCATATCCACAGACCCAATATCCACAATCAGTGAAGTAACAAGTAGCAAAAACATCAATTGTTCACAACTCGCAATCTCGAAGTTTCAATTCCTAAATATTCTTACACGGTTTTCAAATTAATCACTAAAAACTAGGTATCTTCCCTTCAATTCAATCTGCAGATTAAAAAAAAAGGTATCGCATCATAATGACCAAACAAAGCAAACCCATCTCATACATGCTGTTAGAGAAACAAACCCCACTCTCTCCTGCCTTTAAATACCCAAACACTAGCATACCATTTCCTACGCAATAATCCATGCATACATTGATCTAAACAAACCATCCCTATTCATACAAAAAATATACTAAAACCTGTTTCCCACCTCAACGCTATGCTCAAGATAAATCCATGAACGTGGAAGACCAACCCCATCCTAAAACGCCTAATCAGAATGATCCTACAAATTTCTATTCCCAATTCCAATGAATCATGACATATCGTTAACCAAATCCATCAAAACGCTTCCTTGCCTTATATTCCCATTATTCATCGCCAACCCCCCTTTGATCCTCTTGGGCTGGTGTTTTCCTTTGCTACCCTTCACAGCCATCGGATCCTTCTTGCTAGGCATCACGCTCCTTTTCATGTTTTCCTTATTTCCATCTTCGTCTCCCTCGATATCCATCAGATCGGGCTTCTTTCTCTTCCCCAAATTATTCTCTACCTTGACCCACTGCGATAATCCTACACTCCCCTGCGTCGCAGTCCCCGACACCTCCCACCAGTGTCCCATCAACTGCTCCTCCTTCAACTCATAAACCCACTTCTTTTCCTCCATCAACCTTACAAATCTACTAACCATTTCTTCCTTCTTATCTCCTCCATCCTTCTCTGCCTTGCCTTTCAGCGTCCCTCTACTCCCCACAACCAACAACTTCGTTTTCGCCCTTGTAAACGCTACATTGATCCTCCTCCAATCCTTCAACAACTCTCCAATGCTTCCCGCTTCATTACTTCTCACCAAGCTCAACACGATAACCTCTTTATCTCTTCCTTGAAATCTGTCTGCAGTATGCATTTCCACACCTTTAGCATTACGAAGACTATCTTTGAGTAAAGCTAATTGGGAGCGGTAATGTGTCATGACTCCTATTTCTGTGGGATCGATACCGACAGCTATGAGAGAAGTGACGAGTTGCGTTACGATTCTAGCTTCTACGTCATTCACCGTTCGATTTCCCTTTTCACATTCTCGTGCTATCTCGCCGAGACCATCGGTATCCACAAATGCTACGGTAACTTCCGGATCCAAGAGATCTCGTAACCAGCATCTTCCCTTTTTCGGTTCGAGACAAACAGATTTTTGTGTACTGTGTAAGATACTACTGGGTGTGTGATGATTCGCTTTCAAAGCGTCCATATCGGGAATAACAATCTTACGATTAGCCACAGAAGTGCTACCGCATTTAAGACGACCATTGTAAATAAGTGTATTGGAGAGAGCCATCACATCGGCATTCATGCGGTATTGATGTTCGAGGTAAACGACGCTTTGAGGATGGGCATCGGAGAGGTATTTGAAGAGTGAGATATCTAGACCTCCTTTTCGAGCTTCTTCGTCTTTGACTAAGGGGGGAAGTTGATTGTGGTCTCCGACAAGGATGAATGTGCGAGCGAGACGAATGGGACCAACACAGACGGGTAGTGTGATTTGAGAAGCTTCATCTACTATGCAGTAGTCGAATGTACGTTCGTTGAAAATGGGATGGTTGATACCGAGGCAACTAGTAGCAATAATTGGTGTATCATGCCAGACACTTCGAATTTCTTCCATGGTATCTTTGGGATCGACAGCGAGTTTAGCAAATTCTTGAACATCGGGGTGGATCTTAGCTTTAATGCCTAGACGCAGGATCGGGATCGAGTCATCGCGAAGTTTCAGAAGAATATTGTCTACAGCTGTATGAGTGTAAGAAGTGAGAAGAACGGATTTCCCTTGCGAAACAAGAGCTCGGATTATATGAGCAATAGTTGTAGTCTTTCCAGTACCAGGCATACCAAGTACTAAAGCATAATCCTGTGCGGACATGACTTTTTCGATAGCACGACGTTGATCCACATTGATACAAGATCGGTCTTTCAATGTGTACTGAGTGGAATGTGGTTTGAACCGAGGAGGATTGAGGTCAACAACCAGACTTCGACTTTCGCGTGATCCAAATGGACCTTCGGTCATGATCTGGATGAGATTGTTCCGAACAGTAGCAAGACCATTACTGAATTCATCCTTATCGAGACGGTAAAGAATTGGATCCTCTTTAATTTTCCCAATAGAGTCGGCTGGTGTAGATCCTTCTGCAGCGACTTCCATGATACTAGCAAAGACCTGGTTATTAACCTCATCGAATCCAGGTTGTCTGATGCGAGCATTATGTAAACGCCGATCAACAGCGACTGTAATCCTGTTCTTGCGTACGTTCGTAACATAACCTTTGGCGAGAGCAAAATGGCCCTTTTCATCTGAGATGACAATTGGTTCTCCTACTATTATCTGAGAGTCCATGAAGGAGAACCCTGGTGTTGCGGTATGTTTTGGTTTGATCATGGTGTATCGATATCGATTGATCTTCTCGTTATTTTGATCTTCATATGCTGATCCTTCCTCAATTATAACGTTTGAGAAACATCGACCAAGCTTCTCTCGTTCTGAGCTCAACATAGTCCATAGTTCTCGACGAAATTTTAAGGAATCTTTCTCTTCTTTTGTAAGAAGATCATCCCATTTAAGGAAGAATTCTTTATGTCTTGGAGTAAGATGCCTGACCACTTCATCAAACTTCTCCTTCATACCGCTTGTCTCTCCAGTTCCATCATCAGCCAGCTTGTGATAAATGAAGCAGGTATTCTTCGCATAACATCTTCCACACATGTTCTCCTTCTTGAGCATAGGTGGAAGTTGAGCATTTTTCTCTCGGACAAAACACGCGAGCTCATTACGCTGCATGATCATATGACGAAGTTCATGACGAATGGCAGGAATTCTAATGGTCTCCGAAGTTTCCATGTAGTATAGAATTCCATAAGCAATCTCAACATCATATCGATCAGATATGAGAAGATTGTAAAGCGCTGTTTGTGCACGGTTGGCGACACTCGGATTTTTGCCGGTCTTGACTTCAAAGGGTGCAGTGAGAGTTCTTTGCCCCTTTTCGTCTCTCATTGTGATTTGTACCGTAGCATCAACGTTACCTTTCAGACCATACATTGGAGACCAAACGTGTTCTTCAACATCGAGAAGATTACTGACACACATAGCCACAGTTTCACCATTTCCAGCCTTT